AATCCCAGCACTTTGAGAGGCTGAGGTGAGTGGATTGCCTGAGCCTGCGGGTTCGAGACCTGCCCGGGCAACTTGGCGAGACCTCATCTCTACAAAAAAATCAAAAGTTAGCCAGCCATGGTAGCGCGCGCCTGTAGTTCCAGGTACTTGGAAGGCTGAGGCAGAAGGATCGCCTGAGCCCAGCGGGTTGAGGCTGCGGTGGCCGGGAGCGGCCACTGCACTCCAGTCTGGGTGACAGAGTGAGACTCCAACTCAAAAAATAATAAATAAATAAAAAAATAAAATAAAATTGCAACACTCAATATATGCCAATAGCAAAAGATGAATACAAGTCACATTTGACTTCTGCAATTACAAGGGAGGCTCAAAAGTGGTTCCCATCAGCATCCAGACACTTCTGATGACGACAAACTAAAAGTAATACATGGAGCACATCACTTAAAAAGTGTATACATTTTTTGGCACCCCAGTATTATTTGAAGGTGGTATCATGGGGCAACAGAAAGCCTGGGCCTGGGTTCGAATCCCAGTCTTGCCAGTATAAGTTATATAACAAAGTCCCTTCCTTTTGCTGAGTCACCAGTTCCTCATCTCTGGAATAGGGATGGTCACACCTATATCACAGGGCTCTTGTGAAGATTAGAGAAAATAATATTCAGAGTAGTGCCTGGCACACAAAAGGCACTGAATGAATTACCCAGTTCCGCAAACCCCTGGGCTGAGCTTTTCAGTCACTGCCAAGGGTCTCCCTCTGTGCTGGAAAATGTCTGGTCATCAGGATCTCAAGGCATTTGGAAGATCTGAGTCGCAAATAAAGCTCTGGCCTGTCCTGCTCTGTCCCCACAAACCCATAGATTCAGGTTGGGCAGAGCCAGTTTTAGAAGTCAGCAGCCAAGCCAGGAAGATGCCTGACACTTTGCACACTGTGTTCTAGTCAAGTTAAAAAAATGTTATTGGCGGATCCAAATGCCGTGGTGGAAATCTAGTTTCAGGTTTTTTTCCTTTTTTTTCAATTGTAGAGATGAGGTCTCACCAACTTGTTCAGACTGGTCTTGAACCCGTGGGCTCGGGCAATCCTCTCGCCTCAGCCTCTCAAAGAGCTGGGATTACAGACTTGAGCCACCATGCCTGATTTTTGTCACACACATCACACACACACACACACACACACACACACACATATTTTTGAGACAGGGTCCAGCTCTGTTGCCCATGCTGGAGTGCAGTGGCTCACTACAGCCTCGACCTCCTGGGCCCAAATAATTTTCCTGCCTCAGTCTCCTACGAGCAGGGATTACAGTTGTACGCCACCACGCCTGACTAATTTTTAAAATTTTTCTCTAGAGATAAGAGGGTTGTGTTTTAAATAGATGGGATCATTTAGCCCTTGTCTGTCTACTCTCTTTCCTATTTCCCCCATTTATCACCTCCCACAAATGCCTGCCTGCCACTGGTAAGCTTGGCTAAGAGTGGGTGAGGTGGAATCGTGCCCAGCAGGCCGGTAGGGACCTGCTGCGGGCCTTCCCCTGGCAGCTGAATGTCCCCTGCCCGCCTGGGGAGCGCAGAGGAGGCCGTGTGCCCTCAGTCCCTTCCGGGGGAGGGGGCGAGGGGGTGTGTGCAAACTCACGACGTGCAGTTCTCAGTGGACGCAGTGGCGCTGTTATCAGTCTCCATGTTGGCCGAGAAGCTGGCAAAGCCGTGGGGCAGCTCGTCCCATTCGTCGAACCGGATGCCCGTGCCCAGGGAGTAGCGGCCCTCGGCGCATGGCTTGCATGACTGGTCCTTCATATCCAGAAACTCCCCAGCATTACAAGAGAAGGCTGGAAAACAAGGCGGGCAGGAGGGGCGGGAAGGTCACTGTAGCCCCAGGAGGAGTGGACAGCTGGGGACCCTGGGGGGTGCACAGGGGCAGGATCTAGGAGTCCCACCCAGGAGAGGCAATGCCAGAGAGACAGAAAGTAGACTGTGGTTGTCTGGGACAGAGGGAGGGAGGCTTGGGGAAGAAGGCTGGGAAGAGGAGGCTGAGGAGTGATGGCTAATAACAGGAGGTTTCTTTTCAGGGTGACTAAATCTTCAGAAATTAGGGAGTTGTGATGGCTGCGATGAATATTTTGAAAACCACTGAAGCCAGGCGCGGTGGCTCACGCGTATAATCCCAGCACTTTGGGAGGTCGAGGTGAGGGGATTGCCTGAGTCCACGGGTTCAAAATCAGCCAGGCAACTTGGCGAGACCTCATCTCTACAATAAATCAAGAAATTAGCCAGGTGTGGTGGCGTGTGCCTGTAGTTCCAGCTACTTAGAAGACTGAGGTGGAAGGATTGTCTGAGCCCAGCAGGTCGAGGCTGCGGTGGCCATGAGTATGCTACTGCACTCTAGCCTGGACAGAGACTCCAACTCAAAAAAAACAAACAAAACACTGAATTTTATCCTTAAAGGGGTGAATTCAGTGGCAATAAAATTGCATACCAATAAAGCCATTAAAAAAATTGACCAGGCATCGTGACTCACGCCTGCAATCCCAATACTTTGGGAGGCCGAAGGAGGAGGATTGCTTGAGCCCAGGAGTTTGAGACCAGCCTGGGCAACATAGAGAGACCTCATCCTACAAACAGTCAAAAAATATTAGCCAGGTGTGGTAGCGTACTGCTATAGTCCCAGTTACTCGGGAGGCTAAGGCAGAAGGATCGCCTGAGCCCAGGACATTGAGAGTGTGGGGAGCTGTGATCGTGCCACTTCACTCTAGCCTAAGATGACAGAGTGAGACTTGGACTCAAACAAAAAAAACCAAAAAATAAAACAGAGGTAGGGCCACAGGCACTCTGCCTTGCTGGGGGCTTTTGGCATCTCCCCGTCTGATTTCCTCTGGAGAGGTGCCTTGGCCATTCTGAGAGTTCTCCAGTGAAGAGGACGCCCTGGCCTGTCCTGCTGGCCCCGTTGGGTGGCACACGGCCCCTCAGCCTTGAATTTTCCCCTGCGTCCCTGGCCGCTGCCTTTCTGTTTCTACTGCCACCAGGAGAGCCGGGATTCCATTGACCTGTTCACCCCGCCATTGCAACGCCCTTCTAACTAGCTTCTTGTTCTGGTTTGTCCTCACTCTGGGGTCAGCAGAACCTTCTACAACACTGACAAGCACTATTATTCCATTGATTGGTTGACTGATTGATTTTTGAGTTGGAGTCTCACTCTGTTGCCCAGGCTAGAGTGCAGTGGCACGCTCATGACACCCACAGCCTCGACCTTTTGGACTCAGGCTTTTCAAGCAATTGGAACCACAGGCATTTGCCACCACGCTCGGCTAATTTTTTTATTTATTAGAGAGACGAAGTCTCACCAAGTTGCCCAGGCTGGTCTCCAACCCCTGAGCTTAGGCAATCCTCTCGCCTAGGCCTCCCAAAGTGCAGGGATGACAGGCGTGAGCCACTGCGCCCAGCCTATTCCCCTTATTTAAAGAACAATCAGGCACTCTCTTTAGGCCATAGAATTAAGCGCTCAGCCCGGCATTCAAGGTCTTCCACAATGTCTCTCCCTTCCCTGCCTGAACCCCTTCTACAGATCTTTTTCCACTTCGCCCCACCTCCGCCATAGTCTCTGTGCTGCCTCCGCCTGGATCACATGCTCTGCCCTAAATGTGTCCCTATCCTTTCCTCTCCAAGTTTTGGTTCAAGTGGTCCTTCCAGCTGCTTCTGCTCCCTAAGCATCCATAACTCGTTCTCTTCTTTAAAAAAAAATTATATATATATATAATTTTTTTTTTTTTTTACATGGAGACGAGGTCTTGCTATATTCCCTAGGCTGATCTTGAACTCCTGGGCTCAAGTAATTCTCCTGCTTCGGCCTCCCAAAGTGCTATGATTACAGGTATGAGTCACCGTGCCCAGCCCATAACTCTGTTGCCCAGGTTGGAGTGCAGTGGCAGGATCAAGCCTCACCACAGCTTCAACCTCCTAGGCTCAGGCGGTCCTTGTGCCTCAATCTCCTGAATAGCTGGGACTACAGGTGTGTGTCACCCTGCCTGGTTTATATTTTGATTTTTTGTAGAGACGAGGTCTCGCTATGTTGCTCAGGCTGGTCTTGATCTCCTGGGCTCAAGCGATCCTCCCGCCTTGGCCTCCCAAAGTGCTTAGATTACAGGTGAGAGCCACAGAGATGGGGACTGGTGCTGTGGTAAGTCACTGCCTTTCCTCTTGCACAGATTCAGTCAGGAGATTCTTGTCTCCTAAATGATGCCTGGTGCATTTCAAAGGATGTCTCTGCAGAAATGTATCCTCTCTTGCTTCCTTTCTGAGAACGAAAGCAAATCTCAATCTTCTCTAATGACTGATTGCAGCTGGTGAGTGAGTATAGTTTGGAGATACATAAACAGGCAAAAAAGAGAATGTATGCAAACAGAAAAAAAAAATCTGAGTGGCACATAGCAGGAATTGCTTATGCTGTATCCACTGATGGTATTTACATTGTTTTTAAGGAAAACCAATTCAAATATCCCATGTGCATCCATGAAATAGGATCTCTCTTCTTTCTTTTTTTATTTTTTTACTCAGAGTCTCGCTCTGTCACCCAGGCTAGAAATCAGCAGCACAGTCACAACTCACCTCAGCCTCGACCTCCTGGGCTCAGGTGTTCCTTTCACCTCAGCCTCTCAAGTAGCTGGGACTCCAGGCGCACCATCACGCCCCGCTAATTTTTAAAATTTTTGTAGAGATGAGGTTTTGCTATGTTGCCATGGCTGATCTTGAACTCCTGGGCTCAATCAATCCTCCCACCTTGGCCTCCCAAAGTGCTGGGATTACAGGTGTGAGCCATTGCACTCAGCCTGAGATAATATTTCTGCACCAAACTTCCAAAGGGTTAGGGACAGTGACTAACTGGAAAGAGATCTGATTCTTTAAGGCGGTTACACTGCCATGAGCAGCCCAGTGTGGACAGTAGGAGGCTTCAAGGAGAGACCAAATCGAGTGGCAGGGAGGCCCTGGAGCAGAACAGCTGCTTACAGCACTCGGTGCCCTTGACCGGGTCGGGGAGGCTGGTGCACAGGCCTGGGGTGTGTGGCACGGCGACCCTCCACCTGGAACCCGTGCTGTCACACGCAGTGTACTCGTAGTGGTACTCGGACTGCAGGGGAGAGAACAGTGGGAAAACATGCGTTAGCAGCAAACATGAAGTGTCCCAGCCGCTCCCACCCAAGCACGATGGCTACTGACATCATCACAGTCACAGGTCCTGGGACTCCTAGCAGGAAGCTGACGACATGAAGCAAGTACAAGAACTGAGGGCATTGAATCATTACCCAGTCATGGCCTAGTCCTTTTTTTTTTTTTTTTTTGAGTCAGGGTCTCATGTGCCACCCAGACACACTGAGTGGCGTGCTCATGGCCACCGCAGCCTCGACCACAGGTGATCCTTCTGCCTCAGCCTTCCAAGCAGTTGGAACCACAGGCATGTGCCACCATATCCGGCTAATTTTTTGATTGATTGTAGAGACAAGGTCTCAGCCATGTTACCCAAGCTGGTTTCAAACCCCTGAGTTCAGGCAATCCTCTTGCCTCTGCCTCCCAAAGTGCTGAGATTACAGGCATGAGCTACCACGCCTGGCCCAGAAACACATCTTTTGTGTGTGACTCTCTTTGCTGTTATGTATAAGCAATGTCTTGATGGAGCAGAGTATTAAGGGAAGGTAAGTAAAAGACAGGCTGGAAACAGGTGGAGTTTGTCTTATCCCAAACTGTATAACTTAAGAGCAAGGATGTTCTGAATGGAAGAATGTCCTATGGAAAGGCTGGTCCACAAAAAATGTATAAAGATTATCACAAAGCCGGGCTTGGTGGCTCAGCCTGTAATTCCGCGATTTGGGAGGCTGAGGTGAGTGGACTGCCTGAGCCTGAGGGTTCGAGACCCGCCTGGGCAA